ATAGACTAATCACTAATCACATTATATATTTACTTGAAAGATGTACTATCTATTGTAATTGTTGTGACAGTAGAAAATCAGAAATTTCTGATATATTTGTCACTTACAAATAAATATCTACAATATGCCTTATGATATGCAGGGTGCCTGGGAGCAAACTAATGGTGAAGCAGACAGGTGTGTACTGCAAAACTTTGTGGCCTTACAGACTTTATCCTTGACATTCTCCATAGTGGAACCTCAAAAAGTAAACAAGACTCTGGTAGCTATTCTCACCAGAGTTTCTGTGTTAAAAACAGTAATAATGAGAGTGCGTAGCATCTTCTAGGACTTACAGCAATTCCATTCGCAAACATTCACAAGCAGCTTCATACAAGATCTTTCGTTCATTCAACAAATGCGTCTTTGCTATCTAGTTAGTCTATACGAGGCACTTGGAAAACAATAGTGAATAAGACATAGCTCTTACTTTGAAGAAACAAAATGAGGCAATCTAGGGATAACAATAAATGCAGCCTAGCCTGATTTTTCATGCAGACACGTTGCTAAAAGTAGTAACACTTTTTATTAGTATTAACGTCTCCAATTGGAAGGAAACCTTGAAACTTACTCTTCTGGAAAAATACCATCAATGAGTGGTTCCGTTCCCTTAGCAGAAAATCAGAAATCCTTAACATGGTCTAGCATGGTGGCTTTTATACCTGTTTACTGCAAACCAAAGTGGGGAAATCTTTGCATATCTCAATATGATACAGAAACATATACACAGACATATATTAAAAATATAGAAGTAAGTTTGATGTGATACTTTTACTGAGTACAATGTACCCTGATTTTACTCTATTGCTTTTGTTACATGCTGGTAACAGCCCACTGAATTGATTTCATGACTCACTAATAGCAATTTGAAGAATACTAGCACAAAAGACTGCAAAATTGAATTTCCATCTACTTCCTCAGCCCGATATCACTACTCTCCCTTTTGCTTTCTATGCTAAAGCTAAATGGTTTTCTTTCCTTCAAATGTGTCAAGCTCTCTCCCACTCAGGGCCACAGCTTATCTCTTCATTCATTTATTCGGCAAACACTTAAGGCATAACTACCATGTGTGAAACATTGTTCAAGGGACTGGAGAGGCAAAAGTGACGAGCTAGATACATTGCCTTCCCTCTTGGAGACTGCATCTCTAGAAAGCAATCAGAAAACAAGGAATCCAAAAATTAAAAGAATCAATTGGAAACAGAGTTGTATAAAATGATGGAAACAGGCAAAGGCAGAAACAAGGATAACTGAGGCTGAGCACTACAAAGGAGCCGGCCATGCAGAGGGTGGAGAGAGTGGGT